ATTTATGTGCTGATTTCATGCAAGAAGCACCAAAGAATTGCTGTTATTTTTGTAATTAATTTCCTACAGATATACAGGATTTATCAGTCTTATTTCCCAATCATTTCTTATGGTGGCCCAATTGTGGAAAAGATGAGCCCACAAGAGAAGACATTAATAATTATAAATGTGACTCATGTTTGTATAGAGCTTTATATTTTGCTAAGTCTATTCTATGTCTTATTCTCATTTGATCCTTGTAATAATCTCATTGGTGATGTAGGAAAGTTATCAATTCAGTAAACATATTTTTAAGCAACTACAATGATGCTGAGAATTAGGGATATATATATATGTTACTTTGATATATATATAACATTTATATATAAAAATAATATATAAACGTGTATATATGTGTGTATGTTTGTGTATATATATAATGGGGAGGAGAGTAACATATGTTATAATGGGGAGGAGAGTAACAAATTTGGGAAACCTATGGCAATTGTTCGCATATTGGTCTTGTTTTTCTTATAGGTAACATTATATAGGTAACATTATACAAGTAACATATAGGTAAAATTATATTGGTATAAATTATATAGTAACATATAGGTAACATTATAATACAGTAATATATAGGTAACATGATATAGTAACATTATATAGGTATAAATTATATGCTTTATATATAAATTATATAATAAATATGAAGATATAAATATATAAATTATACCTATATAATTTATACCTATATAATATAAAATTATATACCTATACAATATAAATTATATAGGTATAAATTATATAGGTATAATATATAGGTATAATAATTTATACCTATATAATTTATATTATAGGTATAAATTATTATATACCTATATAATTTATATTATATAGGTATAAATTATATGGGTATAATTATATAGGTAACATTATATAGGTATAAATTATATAGTAATGTTTAGGTGACATTATAGTATAGTATTATATAGGTAACATACAGTAACATTATATAGGTATAAATTATAAAGGTATGTATATATACCTGTATATAAAATTATATATATTAAGTATATATTTATAACATATATTTATACTTGTATAATTTTATGTGGGAATAAATTTGTGTGTGTGTATATATATGCGCACACACACACATATACATAAATGTTGCTCTCCTACCTTCAGGGAGATTTTTTTTCACTGGGTGTGGGAGAGGTATGGAGAAACAAAAATAACTACCTACTGTGGAGTGTCTTTAGGGCTGTGTTCAACATAAGACAAAGCTGGTGCATGAATGAGAACAGGAAATGGTTAATTCAGCCTGAGGAAGGCAAAGGAGTGAGAATAACATTCTGGGCAGAAGCAGCAACATAAATAAATGGACACATGACCGTACATGGTTTGTGTTGACGGAACTCTGAGATGCCGAAGATATTGACAGAAGATGGCACAGCTCCACCCACCTTGGTCTCCTTTGTATTTCTCTGTGTTGGTTCCATTCCCAAAGCAGGCTTTCCCTTAGCAATGACAATAAAATCGAGTCTCATATGATTTCCTCGCAACATTTCCAATAACATTCTCTAAATTGTGTCTCATGGCTCCACATGGGTCAATCAGCCACTATTTTAAGCCTGATTGGCCACATCTAATTTAAAAGCCCACTCCAAAACTCAGATCCAGATTAGATGTATCCAAGCCACGTGTCTTAAAACAGTAATTCTAAAGCTTTAGCACATATTAGCCTTCCCACAAGAGCTTATTAACATGCAGATTGCTGGGCCAAATTTCCCAGAACATCTGATTCAACAAGTTGGGGTTGTGGCCTGATTATTTGCATTTATAACAAGTTTTTAGGTGATGCTGATGATGCTGCCGATACAGGGGCCACACTGTGAGAACCAGGGTCTTTGAGAACTGGAAGGATAGTTTCCCCTGAAAAATCTGAGGGCTGCTGCCTGCAGATGTGACTGGATTCCAAGTTACCTGATGGCACAGAAACTATGACTGCTTGTGCAAATTTGGGAAACCTATGGCAATTGTTCGCATATTGGTCTTGTTTTTCTTATTGATCTTTCTACTCTAGTTATTCGGTAGCCTCACTATACTTTTCTGGCTATACAGGGTTGCTCACCCCTAAGCACTGGATCATTTTCCACTGAAATGTATATTCTGTGTTTGCTTTTCTCAGAATAACTTGACCCAAAGATCTGATGATTGCATTGCCACTACACGCACAAAATGGATCCAGAGTTTTTGGATTAAGGACCCTGTTTTGCCATTTATGTGACCTTTGGCCTGTTACTTAATAGCTGTGAGCCTTGGTTTTCTTACGTGTAAAATATTGGTAATAATATCTAGTAATTGTAACTATGCCATAGAATTGTCAGGATTCCATGATATTATATATAGAGAGTTTAGAATAATTCCTGACACATACTTAAAGACTATATAAGCCTTAGTCATTCTTATGAAGTGTTTACTGTCCGTGGCTTTAAATAATTAGATTTGATAGGTTTTAGAAAGGAAGGGGTCCTGATATGTTATTAGAATGTAATTCCATCCTTTAATAGTTGATATAACTACAGAGAACTACATTATCTCACCAAGGATAAAGAGATGGTCAATGGACCCAGAACTCAGGTTTTCTTTGCTCATGCTGTAATACCATGTTAAGTCTTACTTCTTTCCAGTGAAACATGACTCCTCATGGAAAGACCATGGATTTGGGAAGCACAGAGGTAGACTAGGATTCCTTTTTTTCCCCCTATATTCTAACCAAGTAGCTTTAAGCAAATTAAGTGCTCCCTTGGAGCCAATGTTTACCTGTCTTTGAAATGGGATTAAAAATGGGCTGGGCATGGTGGTGTGTATCTGTTATCCCAGCACTTTGAGAGGCCAAGCAAGGGAGACGAGTTGAACCCAGGAGTTTGAGACCAGCCTGGGCAACATAGCCAGATCCACCTTTACAAAAAATAAAAAAAAAATTAGCTGGGCATGGTTGTGCATGCCTGAAGCCCCAGCTGCTATGGAGGGTGAGGCAAGAGGATCACTTGAGCCCAGGAAGTTGAGGCTGCAGTGAGCTGTGATCTCACCAATGCACTCCAGCCTGGGTGACAGAGTGAGACTTTGTTTCTAGAAGAAACAAACAAACACAGAAACCAGAAACATTTTAAGTGATATGTGAGGCCTCAATACAGAAATGTGTATAAAGTGCTTGTCACAGTGCCTGGAGAAATACCAGTTTGTTACTACATGTTTAATTCCTTTCCTTTTTCCTATTTCTTTGCATAAGCCTGCTGCATCTAAGCAAGAGTCTTTTCCTGTTGTGCCAGTGGAATGACTAATGGTAGAAATTGTAGAGTGTATGTAGATTATATGGCATCACGATGAGGCAAATGTTCTTCCACAAGAGGGCTTTCCATGCTCACCACCAGCACTTTTGCCAGTCACTGCCCCCTTCAGTTATCTCTAGAAGTAATGATTTACAGTTGTTAACTGCTACCACCTGTGGAACTGTTTTCCTGTGCCTGGTATTCTGCCTGACTCAGGACTTGACCTATTGTATCCTTCACATTCCTCATCACAGCACTAGAAGAAGGCACTAATGTTAGGGCAGTTTCGCAAGAGGCAGGATTTTATACCCAAGTATGAATGACTTCACAGTGTGATGTGATGCCTATCTAATACAGCAGGACCTTTGAGCCATGTAAGGGGTAAAAAAGGAACAGCAAAGATGGTGGACCATGACTAACATGACTGACATGCTATTTTGAAAGTGAATTGAATTTTAGTTTTTAGTTGAGGATTTACATATTTCCAGACTTCTTTATGGGAATGGTGGGGGAAAGGCTGAATATACTCATCCTGAATACTGTGAAATAGGGGATACCTTTCTCCTTATGACACCCCCTTTTTAAAAAAATATGTGCTGGCCACTATCTGGCGTAGAAGATTGGCCTGTGCTTGTCTTTAGAATACGCTCCCAGGCATGCCTCTGACTTTGCTGGAAAGGTTTTCTCCTGTCTCTTGATGTCTTTTTCCACGTTCTCCGTTTACGTAAATCTGATGGAATCTTTTAGACTAGCTCAGTTGCCTTCCTTCATGAAGTCCGCTCGGGTTGAACTGTGTCAATTACTGATCTCAGAGTTCTAGTTTGCTAGATGTCTTTAAAACATTTATTATACAATTAATACATATACAAATTTGAAAAATAATCGACATAAGCATAAAGCATAAAACAATCACTTGCAATTTCACTGGCCAGAAGAAAAGTGCGCTCACATTTTTCAAGCATGTATGTGTGTATGTGTAAAGAAATATTTGTATGTATGTGTGTATATACTTAGGCACATGTAATTATATAATATCTAGTATCTGTATCTTGCTCATTTACTTAACATGATATTATAAAATAAACTGAAAAATATGGCTAGTATGTTTTCATCTGTATATTTACATGAAACTTATTAGTCAGATATAAGTTCTTCATAAGACATTTTAAAGTTATAAATAAGCAGCAAGACATGACTATTTCCTGGCTACTTATTTACTGTGGGATCTTAGGCAAATTACTTATCCTGTTAATTTTTATGAAAACATATTTAACTTGGTTGTTTTGAAAATTAGATGAAATAATGCAAATAAGATAAGTAATATATGCCTGACACCTAATAAACACTCAAAAACATTTTCATCAATATTGTTCACATTGTCAGTATTTATTTGTTAATTCAATATATGACAACTACGTATCCAGAAATATGTTAGCTCTAACTTACCTTCTAGGAGCTTAAAACCTATTTAAGGAATTTTTACTACATAACAGTATTTCCACAATTGACAATGGGATCTGATGGATAAGTTTGTACTAAATTAGAACAGCCAAGACTTTAGTTTTAAAAATTAGGTAGTGATACAAAAAAAATTGCAGAGAACAAGATTTTCTATATCTTGATAGAGATTTTATGATGAGCTATCCAAACTTGTAACCTGCAACCTCAGTAATTTTCTTTTATCTTTTAGATTCGATAGTAAAAAAGCAAAACCAAAATAGCCCTGTCACATCCAGCCACTGTCAATTAATGCCTGGAACTGGATTAACTACGAGTAAACCAATTCAAGTAGCGCGAGACTCACCAGCTGTCAGGCACGGTTAGTCTCCTTAGAGGGACCACATACATATCCTGTTGCCAAGGAAAACAGCCTATAACATCATCTTTTTTCAGGGCACGGGTAAATTCCTGTCTCATTCGTACAAAACCTTCAGACCTCTAGGAGACCATGGGGTATAGATTAAAATTCATGCCTAGCAGAAACAGCTTCCATACTCCTCACAATACACTCCTACACAGTATTCAAAAGAGGATCCCAAGGACTTAGCTGTGTCTCATCTCTGCATTTGAACTCCATTCATGTACATGTAGAGAGCAGCTAGTGTTTTACAAAGGGCAGAGGTGGTTACATTGAAAGTACTTGGCATTATCACAAATCCCTATGTTTGTATTCTTTTATGGGAGCCACAAGATTTATCTACTGCATCCTTTTTTACCTAATGCCTTTGTTGTCAGGGTTGGAACATTTTTGAATCCAGCAAACAATGGGAAGGAATTGGTTTTATACAAACAACTTTGGGGGCGTGTGTGTGTGTGTGTGTGTGCACGCATACGTATGCATGTTTCCCAAAGACCAGAACAGCAAAGGACACTACTAAAAGAAAATCTTAAAGCAAATCTGTGGGTTACTAGGCCTACCTGGGTCTTTACTGACTGTGTTACGCTGGATTATTGACTAGAAACACCTGTTGTTTTCCCTGCAGAGCCGTTGGGAAGAGGAGGAGTACACGTGGCTGGTGCATGAACCTTGGTAAGTCATAGTAAAGCAAGAGTGTAAATACTGGAGTATGCATTCTCTGTCAGTTCCATGCTACTTTTGGAGAAGTTTTGGCATTTGCTTCCTTGCATTTGGCACTATAGATTATTTTAATAATGTTTACATTCTTGTTCTGCTCCCTAGCTCTACAAGCTGTTAAGAGAAGCCACATTTAAACAAGCATCCCTGCATCTTTTGCTGCTACATGAAGAGAGTAGCAGGCTGTTCCCCAGAATAGTCTGTAAAGAATCTTCTCCAAATAAACTACTTTAATGCTAAGCAAAATGCCACATATGTAAAATAGGTAATGCCGGATTATGTAAAATGCTTTTTAAAAGATGAGGGAAAAGGACTTAGCATCAAATAAATCTGTCAGCATGGGGAGTTCCAGAAATAGTTGTAACAGTGGTTTGAATTGCTTAATATTGCAATTACTATTTACTTCTTCAAATTAGCCTCCATTATCTGATGAAAGAATCTTAGAATAATTTATTTGACTCTCCAGGGGCTTGTGGCCATATCATGAATAGATGTTTAAAGAGCCTTCTAAGAGTCTGCTAAGACCTAAATTAATCTTTGTATCAAACACTTTTACATATTGCTTTTCCCCTTCCAAACACCCCCACAATCCAAATTTCTTAAGTAGGTTTTTTTCCTTCATCAGTGTTAATGCATTGACATGCAGTAGGGAAACTAGCCTTGAGTTATATGTATCAAGAGAAACAACAAAGCAATGTGCTTTGTTCCTGGCAAGCTTACTTAATCTCTCAGATATGTAAAGATGAATCAGAAAACAATATGATCCAGCTCATCTTCTTAATCAGAATCCTAGAATGAATGTTGGAGTAAAAAAGTACCATAGAGAATACCCAATCTAGATCCTTCTTTTCCTGTTTGAGAAAAAGGAGATTTCAAATGCTCAAATAACTGACCCAAGGCCTACAGGCAGGTGTCTGTCAGTATCCAAACAATGCAAACAAGAAACCAGTGCTTGATATTTCCAATTTCATTTTACCATTTTACTATTCTAGCACCATTGCCTAATCAATAAAAATCAACTGAGAGGGTTTTTAGAGACAGAGATATCTAAGATTCTCTCTTGGAAGATCTGTATTAATAGTTGGAGTAGAGTTTGAGATTCTGCTTTTGACAAATGCCCTGGGAAATTCTTAGGATACAGAATTACAGAAAACTCCACATTGCATCATTCCGTCTTCAAAGATAAAAGATCACTACTAATCAAATAAACTGATATAGAAATTTCTAAAACATATGGTTATGAACTTATTTTAAAACATAGACTTATTGTCTGTATTTATATATTAGACCTTGGAGTCTAATATATAAATGTTATATATTAGACCTTGGAGAAGCTGTGCATTTAGACCTGTATGATGCATCCATTTATAAGTCAATTGTCCTGGGATCTGCTTTTATATTTATGGTGTTTACATGTCTGTCATCTGTAATATTGGTATTTTTTAGAGTTCATCTAGATCTTTGACCATTCAGTCAGCACTCTGTTTAGTAAGATATGGAATTCCAAAGATGCACTAAAACGATCCCAACTGTGCTATAGGAGATGTGCAATAGGAACTAATGTCAGGCAGAAGCAGTTAAAACACTTGGCAACTGCCTGAATTGCTATGCTTGCCATTTCCTAGAGATAATGCAAATTGTGCTTTGGCAAGAGATTACCTGTCGATTTTTTTTTTCTTATTTTGTAATTGCTCCCTCACAAAAAAACCCCCACAGGTTAGAATGTACCGTCTGCTGTCCATGGTCCTAATTGTGGTCTTTGATGGGAAATGTTACCTTTTACAGAGCCAGCTTGTGAAATCCTTTAACAGATTTTTTGTGATCCCTGTAATTCTGGCAGTGCCAAGCATATCTGAGTACTAGATTCTACACCCAGTTAGTTTTCCCCCAAGTCACATGAGCTAAGCGTACCTGCAATCATTTAGATATACATGGTTGACTTTCAGGTAATTTTCAGAGAAAAAGAATGACAAATGAACAAAAGTTGAAAGTTACATTTAAAAAGATAGCCTTAACCTCTAAAGTTTACATGGCTTATTTTAGCCATTTCAGAGGCTGTATACTCAACTTCTTGTGTGAATTGTGCTTTTAAACCATTCCATTTGACAATTAAAATGGAAACGTGGATAAAGCCATTGTTTGTTTTTTCTATAGTCCCATCAATGTGCACTGTGCTGAACAATAGTCAGGGCATGGCAAACAAAGGCTATGCCCTGTGGAACTTACAATCAAGCTGCATGATGCAATGCAGAACAATACAATTCAGAACAAGCATGTGGTGATTAACAACCTTTCTAAGTGGCATTCTTTGCAGAATAGGAGTTTATATATATACGTATAAATCAGTGGGGTTGGGGGGCGGACATACAGTTTCATCTGTAGGGACTTTGACAGAAGATGCAAATCAGCCGTGGGTGCATAGACCAAGGAGAAAAGAAGATTAGAAGGATAGTATGATCAGTAACTAAATATTTCAGGGAGCTGTCTATGCACTGAATGGAGAACTGGAGAGCTCCTAAAAATAATGAGTATAGCCACCTTATGAAAGAAAATAGGAACCAACGTATTAATTAAGAAGAGTCCCTTTCTTTCCAGTATTTCAGAAAAGGGGATGGGTTTAAAAGCAACCATGGAGAGCACTCGGGGATAATCATGTACGGTGTGTGCTTAAAAGTTTGAAATTTTACTTGAGCCATGAGGCATTTGATAAATAAATTATCCATTGATTAATGGAAGAAGTAATGCAGTTTATCTAGAATTGCGTGTTGAGGAGTCCTTAATCCAAAGCCATGACTGTGTGGATTCAAACATATTTTAGAACTTAATCCAGTGTTGTGTTTGTGTGTCTGTATGGGTATGTACAACATTTCAGTTTAGTAGAGCAGCTACTGAAAGTCATTTATCTTCACTCCAGTAATAATGGCTAATATTTATTGAGTACCTACTATGGCAAAGTAGTATTCTCAGCAGTATTGATCTTATTCAGTCCTCACAGAAGCTCTGTGAGGTAGGTATTATTACTATTTTAAATCCCATCGCACAGGGCTGGGCACAGTGGCTTATGTCTCCAATCCTAGCCCTTTGGGAGGTCGAGGTGATCAGATCGCTTGAGTCCTGGAGTTCAAGAACAGCCTGGGCAACATGATGAGACCTCGTCTCTACCCAAAATACAAAAATTAGTGGGGAGTGGTAGCACATGCCTGTAATCCTAGATACTTGGGAGATTGAGATGGGAGGATCACCTGAGCCCCGGGAGGTTGAGGGTGCAGTGAGCCATGATCATGCCACTGCACTCCAGCCTGGGCAACAGAGTGAGACCCTGTCTCAAAAAAAAAAAAAATCCCATTTCACAGATGAATAGTTTGAAATACACAGAGGCAAAGCAACTTCTAAACCCTAATAGTCTGGCTCCAAAATCAGTATTCTAATCACTATGTTATAAATTCTTTTCAAAATTCCAGGTTCCCATTCTCAGAAAAAACTACCTTGATGGAAACCTCCTGTATTTTTGTGAAGGATAGGGAACATTAATTTATTTGTTTTTGTGTAATACCATATAGTATTCTCCCTATAGGTTTGCATTCTACTAAAATCCACTATATAAACTGACAAATTAGTGTGAATAAAATGATAATATTTGTGTTAAGTGCAATAGATTCAATATCAAAAAGACTAAATAAAATAATAGAGAGGAACACCATGTAAATATTCTCAGTCCCCTAAAGAATAATATAAAACTAGGAAATAAAATATTTAATAGATTAAAGTCTGAGCCCCTGAAAAATATTAGCACAGAGTCATTTGCTATATTTGTTCACTGTAGAAGGCCCCAGGGTGGTTTATGGCAGCCTGGGTTCAACAGTATCACACTCAAACAGATTATAGCTAAATGTGAAACTTAAATAGTTTTCTTATTGTTGATCTCAGATATAGCAATATCAAAGGTGTTTCTTGCTATGCAGGGATCCCCAACCTTGCTTTTTTGTGTTTGTTTTTTTTTTGGGGTTTCTGTTTTTGCTGCACACAAGCTATTTCTTTATCCTGGAAGCGTTCATAAAATTCTTAAATGTGAATTATTTTAGGTAATGTTTTATTTTAAAACACAGTAGGCTCTAAAGCACCTTTTGCTGTAGATACGGGGACATGAAAACCAACTGCCATCAGGACCTTTGCTTTCAGAATTATTATGGCAGTCCCAAAAAAGTTGAAAAACACTAGTTCAAGAAAATGAGTAAAATACCAACGGTATTGAAGTATTGTATCTTCCTTTCTTGTGAAACTTGCATAATATTTGTGTTCCTTGAGTTTGAATAACAATTGTCTCATCTTCTCAACACCAAACAAGTGGTTCACCAAATAAACAATCAGGAAAGGAGAACACAAAAAATTTTGTTAAATACTGTATTTGCAAAAGAATTTCTAAAACTCCCAAAATGATGTTAAGCAGATATGCATTTGGCTTTTAACTGTAATAATGTAGGTTGGAGTTACAGACAAGCGACAACAACAAAAACTATAAACAGAATTTAAGGGTACAAAGCACTTTTGCTTCAACTGATGTGATTCAAGGGTGCAAAGCTTAGGGATGATTTTACCTCATTCCCAAGCACTACTATCAATTCCTAGGTCTTTTTGGAGACAAGTTTTTTTTGTGTTTTTCAATCTCATCCTTCTTTTTGCTCATTTTTTTTTATTATTATTCTAAAAATTTTATCAGACCTTTCCTAGATTAAACAAAACTACCATGTTTCAAGTCAAACAAGTATGATGATTTACTCCCTTTGAGGATAAAATTCCCAAAAGTACGATCTAGATTTTCTGTTTTGCAAGATACAGGGTCTGCTCCATGACCTCACTGAAATATCTCTTTCGAATATAATTAATAACTCTATTGGTACTTCTTACCTCTTCCTAAGTTAAGATATAATTTATATATCATAAAAAGCACAGATCTT